GCATGATCCAGAAAAGTTTGTGTTAGATGGTCCAGAAGACAGTGACGTCATGTTGTTTTGCAGTTTGAAGGAAATGTCTTCTAGTTCAGGTTGATGATTTTTGGTGACGTCACTGACTAGTTCTGTGGTTGGTACAGTTTGTTGACGTCCATGTGCAGCCAATGAGCTCGGTCCTTGATGACACGATGTTACGGAGCATCTTGTACTTGAAGGTAGACTGTTGACAATCAGTTGACAATCATCTGGACTCACGGTTTATTTCAAGGGTCCGTTGAAACGCGAGGAGCCGTGTGATTGGGCAGCACTTATCTGCCCGTGTTTGTGGATCGCTATTGATAAAAGAGAGCGTGTTTGGCGTCAACGATGAAGCTGTGACACATTAGAGGCTGTAATCTGTGTTTACAGCAGCAGCAGGTTGCCCCCTGAAAAGGTCAGCGGGCAATCAAGAAACCGCCCTCGCACTTAACGGACACATTAAAGCCACATTGTCCACGTCTTTAATCCTTCCGTCTCAGGCGTCACTGAAATCCACCTTCCCGTAAACACACGGGTTGGGAAACATCACCTTCTGCTCCGTCAGCAGCTCGTCGGTGACGGTCAGCTCCTCCAGCTCGGTGGTGTAGTGGTCGGTGCTCTCCACCATCGACGTGTCCTTGACGGCGCTGTAGGTGAGCGCCACGCTGTAGGTGGCGGGTTTGTCCGAGCCCTTCCTCCTGCAGCGGCAGATCTTGCGGAATGCGGCGCGGAACTTCTGCGACATGGCGTTGTAGATGACCGGGTTGATGGCGCTGTTGAGGTAGACGCAGACGCGGCAGAAAAGCAGGAACCAGTTGTCGAGGTAGGGCTGTTCCAGGAAGGAGTTGACCACCACCAGGGTGCGGTAGGGCATCCACAGGGTGGCAAAGAGGATCACAACCACGGCAAGCATTTTGGTCACCTGCAGAGGGCAACAGTGAGGGTTAGGAGAACTGCATTTAGCTGCACAATGGGCACCTCTAGTGGTCAAGACTGGTTATTTCTCCTACTTTTTTACTACTATGTTG